GTTACTCATGGGAAGCCGTATCCTCGGCGAGCACACTGCTGGAAAAGTCTTTGTCCTCTTCCTCGCCAGCCACATTTTTCGACGCCATTTTGATCACGATAACTGTAGCACCGATGATATTTTGCTCTGCACATCCAGTGGGGGTCAAATCCATCACAGCCAAGTAGAAGGCCACCACAGTTTGCGAAGCAAAATCCGATCTTACACTTACATCCTTGGCTATATTGCATTTCCACACCGGCTCTCTGTTCAGGAGTCACCTCGGTCCACTTCTGATGGAAGTTGCAGAAGCTGGTGTACAGATTTCCGTCTAAAATCTTTCCGAAAAGGAGGTATTCGGTATAAGGCTGGAGCTGCACTCTACACGACGAGATTCGAGAAGGTGTGTATAGCTTGGTCAATGACTTGTTTTGCACGTTTGCATGGCCTTTAAAGATGGAGATAATTCTTAACCAGTAGACTTGATAATTTCCGCCTCTATTTGGCATGGCAGCTCTTATTGATGGACCCACGACCTTAGCGCGCAAAACTAACGAAGCAAAAACAACACTTGTGAGAGAGGGTAAGAAAGAAAAGTTTGCACTCCAAAAAAGTTGCAACTTCAACCGAAGCTCTACCTGGTTTCTGTGCTTGAAGCTGTTGGGAATGTTAAAGCTCACCCAGGTTGGAACACCAATATTTTAAGATATGCGAAGGTGATAGAAACGCTCTCATGTTAGGGCAAAATGTCATGAAGGAGTCTAAAAGCAATTTCTTGTTACCGTAACTCAAGCGTAAAGTTCCGAGGGTAGCACTTAGAGGAAGTGTGAGTGGAGGTATTCTGCCGAAGGCATGCAAACCGAGACCCTGTTTAAGGCAAGATCTTGTCATTGCGCTGCCCCGCCCAAGAAGAGTAACTTTCATGGAATGCAGTATATCGACCTCATGAAGTTATTTTTGGCATATACGGACGGAAGTTTTAGAATTGGATCTAAAGACACTTGTAATTATAGCCGCATATGTAAACTTCTCGTAACAGAGGTCATCCGTGGATGTCAAACAGTCACAGATAAATGTTCCAATATCATCGAACAAATCTTTCGGCATTCGCAGGAAAATAGAGAAAGGAAAATACCCATTCATGCAACATAGACGGTATCAAATGTACAATGTAGTACATTTCATTTTCATTTTTCAGCTCTTCTTGTGAGTAAACAAATACTTTTTCTTTGTTTTTGGCTCAATCTAAAAACAGAGTGTTCTGGTGAATCCCTGTGCATGAATTTTGTACAAAATGTTGGAATGAAACTTGTCAGATTTAGCTTGACTTGACTGAGCTTGACATAGATTTAAAGCATCAAACAATCGCTGTTGTCATGTTTATAAAACATTCACAGCTAAAACGTCTTACAATAATTTCCGAAAAGACTATATGTATGTTACCACGAGCATAAATGAGGATTATTTGAATCGTGTCCTTCTATCAACTAACAGAGCAGAGAATTCGCCCGTAGAAATGAACCGGCTGAATACTGGGCCAAATAAGCACAAATTACTTGAAAAGATGAACTTACCGAATCCACCAGCGTTACAAAATTGTTTTTGAGGATGTTCCGGCATACAGAAACAGGCGAAGGAAGAGGTCACCGAACAGACGGTTATCAACAGGAACAAGAAAACGGCCATCTTCCTCTCTTAGTTCAGTGTAGCTTTTTCAAACCAGCTGGAAATTGTGACCTTCTGCTGCTTCGTGATCGCATTTATATACCATTTCCACCTTAGTAACAATGACAGGGTTGCTAACCGAGAGCGGTCAATAAATGCCGTATCAAAGTATTGTGGGATGATATCTTGAGGGCGTGTGGATCTACAAGGTCAAGAAACGTCATCGCAATAATTACTGAAAACATTTCGCAATGATGAAAATATGAAAACAAAGGAAGAAAAACATGTCCTTGGTAACACCACAAAAATGTATAGCCCACTGCAACTAAAAAAGGTGCAAAAACCTTCATTTATCCTTTCTCGAAACGATGCTATGACTGGCTTTGATAGCCACGATCAGTGACAACGTTTAGATGTTCTTCAGTTCTTTTTTGAGACAAAATTTCCAAAGTTTGATTTACCATTTATGGAATTTTGTCTTTTCTTGTTTTAAGAGATGTTCTTACGTGAAAAAATTTCAGACGCGTAATTTTTAAACCTGGCGGTAGACTTAAAAGATAGACCAACCTATGTCAAGCAGATCCTTGCCTCTTAACATATCTGAGTTGAGTTATTTCCTTCAGTAAAGGAATTTACTACCACAGGATGCTACTTGAAATGTTTTATATGGGATTGTTTCTGGTTTTTATCTCTGTTTTTGTAGTAAAAAATAGAATTTAAGGGAGTGGTTGTTTATTGAAGTACCAAAGCATCACTGAACTAATTTGAAAAGCCGTAGCTATGACCGATCTCTACTGCGCCTTTATGGAGCGATGATCTTTGTTTTCGAAGTCTGAGAAGCTCGAGACAAGATTTCGCATTGAGACAAAAATAAAGAACAGAGGAATTAGTTTAACCTTAGAATCAAACATACGAAAACTTTTTTGCATGATAATACAAATGCATTGAGCTTTCCGGATAGCGATGTTGCAACTCATCTCAAACAAACATTTTTGTTTCCAAGACATCCGCCGGTAATTTTTAGTTTCCGTGGAGATAAAAGACGAAAATTATTCTTATCATCAGGATAAAAAGGTCGAAAAGAATGGCCATTGTCTTTAAATAATAACAAATTTGCTGCTTTGGAGTGCACGTAATACACGCACGTTGTCAACCCGAGCTTTAAGAACTGTAGGTTAGGTGATAGAAATTCCATCTTTCTAGAAACTGGTCCGATACCGTAACTTGCTTCCGAAATGTTTTGTGGTTGCGCAATCTGGATAAAGAGTAATACTCAGTAATATTAAAAGATTAGTCTACAGACGTAGTGAGGGTGCCATTTTTGGATTTTGGACAAGCCTCATAATTGAATTACTACCGAAATTTTACGTCACGGGGATGTCACTGCAGAATTTTGTCACTGATCTAAGCGATTTTAGACCAAATTTATTTATATGGCTGTCTGGAGTTCTGAATTTTCGCTTCTTTGAGGTTTTGACTTTGGGGGAGCTTTGAGGCCGCAGTAACCTTCAATGCTATATCCTTGAACCGCAGAGAGATTTTCACCACGTAACTCACGCTATGTTTCTCTCTGGAGAGACAATTATTCATGCAAGGTATATCAGTAGAGGCCATCTCCCGCTGACCTTAGGCAAGTTACGTAGAGGCTTTTACGTGTACGTATTATTGTAACACACACGATGATGCGTGTATTGCGCCTAAAAAAAGATATACTGGGGTCATAATGTATCTGCCAGTGTAAGACGGTAAAACTGAAACGGAGAAAAATGTTCGGTAATGGGGTAACAGACAAAGGGATCTTTTAAAAATGAAGAGTAAAGTTCTTTTAAGCAGAGACTTCGGTTATGTAGGAAAACGAAAACAGACGATTCACTACCTTCACTCTTACTGCTTACATAATCAACATTAGTGTAGGTGATGTGACTAAAAAAAAATCCGTCACAAATATGATTCACTTTTTCATTTTAACCAAAAATGCAAGCATTCTTTATGGCAAAAGCTGTAGCTGAAAGGCGGAAGTCGAATGATACTCCGCACGACTGAACTTTGATGCAAATCAATGTTCTAGGATGGAAATTTCTGATCAATTCCCCTGTATATGATAATTGTATTTCCGTTTTTCGTTTGCTAAAAGAAGACAGCAGATAATTGTTTAAAATCCCGTTCTCCATTGCCTAAATTGGAAATTTCAATCGGTCTTGAAAAAAACTGTAAAATGTTGACACATTTTCTTTTGAAATATTTCCGCACAAAGGAACGGTTGACATGTTTTCATATGGAAATGTTTGTCATCGGTTAGAGGGTCAGTTTCATTCGTAGAAGGTGACTTTAAGTTGTTTAATGTAAGAGAAGACACGAAAAACAAGTTCCATGCATGGTAATTGACAAAGACGCTGTTTCATTATTTTGCTTCTTTCGATTTTGTTCAAACGCCAATGAAACGCGACACACCAATTTTCTTCGACTAAATATCCTTAGGCTGAGGTCATTCGCAGCCTTTACAGGGCGTGAAATTAATTTTTTTTTTCTTGGCTCCTAAATTCTTCAAGGTGGTAGCCAATTAAAAAAGCTGGTCGCCATTTTCAAAGACAAACAAAAACTTTTTTTAGCCGTTAGCGTTCTAGATAGACCCTCCAAAATTAAGTTAGGAAAAAGATCTTTAACGTGCTACAAATTGGACTCTATGATGGATAATATACAACGTTCAAGCTCACCTAAATCCAAGATGGCATCTAGTCATCGATTTAGATGTATGTGCTGCGTGTTTTGGAAACAAACTTAACGGGGAAGTTTGCAGCGGCTTTATCTTTCTAAGGATATGATGAAGCATTCTAGTCGCCAATTTGGCGACTAATTTTCAGGATTTGGTCGCCAAAGTGAAAAATTTAGTCGCATTGGCGCCTGTATCAGGCGCAATTTCACGCCCTGCTTTACATAGTTCAGCCAAATAACTTTCGCTGAAAAACGGAGGAAGATAATAACATATACAGTCGATGGAAGATCCGAATTGAGCAGCATGACTAAGTATAATAAAGCACTCTGCTGCTTGTGATCCTCAGACGGAAATGTCAGTTTTTCAGGAAATAACTGAAAAGGAAGGGATTTCTCTCTATCAAAGTAAAAGTTTTGTTTCCTGTTGTTACAGAACGCTTTTAGGTTTAGAAAAATCAAAATAAACTTTCGAACTCCGCCTTCATTCTTCTCATAGGTGTAAATCATTAGCATGGAAATTGATTGGGAAACGCTGATAATTTATGTGTTATTTACCAAGATAATGTAGCATTGCAATTAGCAAAGAAAATTTGAGCATCTGCATTGTTTTCAGTTCATTTAATTCTACAGTCTTCACACACAGATATTCCCAACCATGAAATAAGGAAAGCTGCTTGAGTGACAAATCTAGTTAAAACTAAAAGGCTTCACTGATATGTTTTCAAACAAGGTTAAGTATTCAAAGATTATTTAAATATTCTATAATATACTTCTACAATATTACAACATTTACAATTACGATGGAAAAATCGATTGAAATCAGTTACATATATTTTTTCGTTATTATCAAAGATTGGCGACAGTTTTACCACTGTACAATAATTACTTACATAAATAAAGGGAAATAGACCAGAATAAATAAATCATTAATTTTTTTAGACTGATCTGTTCTTTACATTGAGTTCCGTATGGTTCCGTCATTTTGAGTTCCTTTTCTTTTGTTCGAAAGGTTTTGAAATGTTCGGGCGAGGTTGAAATGAAGAAGGAAGCCCTTCGATTTGTTTCTTGGAAAATTTCAGATCTTCTTGCGCCTGTGCAGTGTATTTCTGAAGTTATCAGCATCTCTGTTCCATTTGAAATGAAGAGAGCTGTCTTTTGAAGCAACCACAGTGTGCAAGCTTGCTTATTTCCCGCTTAATGTCCTGTTTGAGTAATCCATAAACGAGGGGGTTGAACGCAGAGTTTGCAATCAGCAGTAATTGTTGCGCCTGTTCCACGTTCTCTGAAGCAGTTGGACAAAACGGCAAAAAATTGCACACGCTCTTAACAGCAGTTAGGGAGTAACAGAGAATGTAAAATGTTACCACAAAAACGATGAAAGCGATGGAGTTTCGAGCCCTGTTTCCTTGGCGCAAGGGCGGCGTGTTTTCAGTTCCTGTTGTAGTGGAGTCATTGTAGCGTAGCTGTTTCACAACTGCAGACCGCTCGCGGACATGTTTTCTGGCGATAAAAAGCAACTGTATCGTGGTTAGCAGCAAGCTTACCCAGGGAATGAGCTCAAAAACGATCGCCGCTACAAAGGTGAAGTACCTTATACCGTCTTTCGTTTGTATAAGAGTTAAAGGTACAAAACCGGCCACGAACGGTAGAATCCAGGCCATGCTGATGAACGCCAAAACACAGTTTTTTGACATGAAACTGACATAAACAAAGGGTTTGACTATCGCCATGTAGCGGTCCAATGTCAACACGCATAGATTGGTCACAGATGCGTACAAGAATACCCACTGAAAGATGGCAAGCAAAATGTGATGGCACCCGTTCTCAACGTTAGGTAAACAGAAGTATAAACCAGGATACAAACTCAAGCTTACTCCAAGATCTGCCACGGACAAAGACAAAAGAAACCAATTGGTAATGCGCTGAAGGCGTGTTTTCGAAGCAATTAAAATGATGATGAAGATATTGCCTGTGAAAGCGAGGGCAGTCAGAAGCCAGCCCAGGACAGTAAACCATTGAGGTTTTCCTGAGTCGTCCATCATCCTGAACCCAAACAGAAAGGCAAAATTTGGTTAGTTCTTTGAGACAGTTGGCCCGGGCTTGTGTAGGAAATTAATTAAACCAGTCTTAATTATATGTCACTTAAAACGAAACCCATTTTTAAAGGATGGCTGAAACTCGTCAAACAAAAACAAAGCTAAATTAGCATGAAGCTCAATCGATCGATGATGGTCGCCAGAAATAAAAACCCTAGGGTCTCATCAGGAACCGCAAATTAGGCCCAAAAATTTTCATCAGACAACTATTGAAAAAAAAAAAGCTATGGATCGGAAAATCGCCGAGGCTGCGATTCAGTTAAACAGGGGACCGGGATAACGAGACCTTTAGGCTGGACAAGCGAAAAAACGAAAACAGTAAACCGTTCTTTCGTGAACAAAACCGCAAAGAAGTTTCTTTAATTTGGAGCAAATACCAAGGACCGATCTTAAAACGGCTGTTTTTAGTCATTCAGATAGCGCAGCCAGAACTGCGAGGCAAACTGCTTGCCGTCTCATAACACTGATGCGAAAATCACACTTAAAAAGATGAAAAATAACGAGAATAGGGCTATGCTCGCAAAAAAATGTTCTTACTTCAGGTTTGTCAAGTTGGCCTGCTCGGTAACGTTCAGGTGACGAGACATTCTATTCATCCGGTGAGGTTTAATAGTGTATCGATGTTGCTCAGACAGTGGAGGCTGTATCTTGAAATAGAATCGTCAAATATTAAGTGGTGCTATTTAATGTACCGTCTTTGAAATTATGGAGGTCAAACAAAGTGGGTGACATTTGCGTCTCACATTTTAATTAAAACGTGATGCAATATTATTTCGGGTTGGTGAAAATTTGACTATTTGAACATTGACTTACTTTGACTGATAATTTCCTTCTGTTGTTGGTCATTCTATTAAAAATTTTTCATATTTGTTTGTGTTTTAAAGGTTAGTTAATATAGCAACCCGTATTGTTTTCAATTTAGTTATAATAACTCGACATCAAAGTGGAAAAATATGAATATCAGATCCTGATCAAAGTTACCAACCAAGAATTAGTAATGTAACTAAAAATTATAGTTCCTATCTATCTTATCTAGCGCGCATTCTCCTCAATAGCTACAAAAACATCAGCTATACACTTGTATATCATTATACAGAAGGTATTAAGTAGTAAAGCTTCGTGTAGTTTGACCTCTCCCTCCCAGCTAATGTAAAAAGAAGATACAACTATCTTGCACTTGAAAAACACTGGTGATTAAAAATTTTAATTTTTCAATCATCTTGCTGTCATGTGAAATATGCTTATCGCGGGAAATTAATATTGCCTTCTATATTCTGTCACTTCTCATTTTGTGCCAACTCACGTTCCATCATTAACAACATTGATATGACACTTGACTCATGAGGAAAAAACCTTTTTCAATTTTCCTTTTCTTAGTTACTAATGTTACCGCTTCTAACCACGTCGCACTTACAGTAATGAGACTGGCACAGGCTCTATTTTTCTTAGTTTTACTTACACCGTAACATAAAGATTGAGTTTCTATTGCCAGAAAAAAAACCATAGATACTAAGAGCCCAAGCTGATTAATTTAAAAAACAAGCAGTCCTATTTGGTACTCACAGAATACTTTGTTCCCTCTATCCTTAATGTACGGTTAAATTTAAATTCGACCGGGTGTCTGATTATCATATCGTAAGATCCGCATTTTGAGGTTAAAAACTAACATTTAAGTTAAGATGAGGAAATGATGTCATCTATCAGCCTGTTAACAGCTGTTGCAGGCGCTTGGTCGGTGAAAGGGAGCGATTTTATAAATGGTGCGATGGTAACGGAGGAGTGATAGCGACAGAGGTTTGGGTCGAGACCCGACCCAAACCTCCCCCGTTTTTTCACTTCTCCACCACTATCGAGTCGTGGATAACGACTTTGGGGATACGTCCGTGAGCAAGAGTTAACTACGCCCAAAATAGAAGTCTAGAAACTACTGTTGGAATTATATGCGACTTTGCCAGAAATGAAGTCTTATCTGACATTTCTGAAGAACCACAACTAAGGAGATGTTACTTAATGCGGATTTTTCCCATTCCCAGTTCCCTACTTTCCGTTTTCTATTTTCCGATCCTTATTTTCCGGTTCTACTTTTTCCGTTCCCTATCCGCTGTGCCCATTTTCCGTTCCTGGTTTTCCATTCTCGATTTCCTTTTCCATCCCTAATTCCCCATTCATCATTTCTCATTCCCTAATTCCCATTCTCCTTTCGGCCATTTCGTTCCAAGACACTTCACTTCAAAACTACGTCACATTGTTCCACTGCGAAGTCTCATCTTATCACAAAAAAGTTTCATTCGCCAAAAACGATCTAAGAGAGTCGGACACAGAAACTTTCCGAATTATTACAGTACAAAGAGCTTTATGTAAAAAAATTACGTAAGACCTTTATAGATAGTTCAGCATTTCAACCCCACACAACATCGGACAAGCACAGGTCCGAAAACACGTTACAGCTGCGTGTAGATGAATACGATGATCATTAAATAACTGTGAATATATGAAAAACATTTATGTGTAATGCGGATAAAGACGTGATTGAGCAACAGTGAAAATAAGGCCTGAAAAAAAAAAAAAAAATTCAGGCCTGTCTGGGATTTGAACCCCGGTGATACCGGTGCAGTTTTCTACCAACTGAGCCAATAAGCCAACTGGGAGCTGAGTTCTTTGGTTTCAAATACACCTGAATAAATACTACAGATAAAAACGTGATTATGAAAGCGATCTTTATGAACGCTTCTTGATTTTCAGTTATTTATTCATCACTTCACGGGTTTATTGCAGGCCTGAATTTTTCTGTTTTTGGTTTTTTTTTCAGGCCTTATTTTCACTACTGTTCAAAAAGTGAAGTTCGCTCTCATATTTACATGATGATTATTATAATGCACGAGTAGGCAATTATGACACTCCGACTCTCTGATGAGTATTAAAAGAAAATCCCTCTTCGAATTCTAGCAAGAAAGTTCGTAATATCAGAATTGGAACGATATCACTTCGTAGTGGAACGAGGTGACTGTATATCGAAACGATCTAACCGAAATTTGAAAGGAACTGACCTCGAATGAAAAGACCATGGAACTAAAGACTAAGTGACCGTAAATCCCTCATTTCAGAAACTATCCGAGGAAAGAAGAAAATTATTCCAGAGTCTAAGGATCGGATCAGCATTTACGCTACATTTTCAATTTTCAGGGACGTTGACGGCTAACGTCAACAGCTACGCCATGGCGATCTAAGGACCCTTTGAAACACGAATTCACTCTTCGCTCTTTCATTCGACGTCATGCAGTCATCTTTATAAAAAAAATTTCCAATCAATATATAAAGAGAACGAGATACAATTGCGAAAAAAAAGCTGCGCACCTTGTTTCAGTTTGATGTAGTCAGTGTAGCGAACTCCACAAGATTTGCCAAAATTTACAACGCAAAGTGCACGGTCGGTTATTATTCTTCCTCTTCTTCAGGGAGTCGTCGTAATCCTCGTGATGAAAATCAACACCGACTGTCGCCCAAAGTACTGTATAATGTTTCCCGTACCGCGAAAACTGTCTACATGAGAGAACATTAGTGAAGTTTCATTTCCGATGCGCCTAGTTTAAACTGAAGAATATCCAGAGATGGAACTCGAAAAAACCCAAACCATGTTCTTTTGTATAAGTAAATAAAATTTGAGCCTTCTCCGATGTGTCTAGGGAATAAGGAAAAAATATCAGAGCTGTCAGTCGCAAAAGATCATTTTGAATAATTTCGATTTTGAACAGTACTTTAAAAGGTAAATCTATTTCAATCTACTGGCGAACTTACCTAAAAATTTGTGATTTTCGTGAGCTTTATCTAAGCTCCTCAGCCATGGCCAGACTGTTTAAAACTATCAACTTTGCACAAAGGCTCTGCGTGTTCACTCCGTCTCAAGCAATAAAACCGAATATTTAATAGAAAAGAAAACATTCATATTTGCACAACAAAACGAGCAGATACAAACAATTTTTCAGTTTCTTTGTTTCTACATTATTTTGCTTTTCGAACTAAGACAGTAATAAAGAGTGCAAAAGCCGTTTCATTTCTTTGCCATGTTGATATGCTACATGCACGTTGAAATAAAATCCTCGCTTCATCGTGATATTCAATTATCCTACTTATTTTAGCTGAAACATAATTCGCAATATATACCTTACAATATTTCTTGAATACCTGAAATTTTTAAGCCCATCCAGAGATTTTCTGGAACCGTAAAATCGCTTTTGTTTTCGTCTACTACCGTTGAAATCCTTGCAAGTGGAAGTGATTAATGTTTCAGCTGCACTGCTGTTTTAAAAACAAAAAAATTTGATCACGCAAAGGGATCCGCTGCAAAAGGGTAAACTGCGTAGGATGGGTTTTGCTTTCGTAAATGTCTCATCACCAAAACGTGCTACAAAAGTAAATTCCTTTTTTTTTACATGTAAGTTTTAATTTTTAAAACGCTAATTGATGATAATTTGCATATGTATACCGAGATCTAATAATAACCAGCAGGGCTCTTGGTCAAGCCGATCAAACAGTTTACCATAACGCTCAGCCGAGGCCGAGCGCTATGGTAAAGAAGCCTATTAGGCCTATTAATTTTTTACCTGCTCCATAATTGCTTTTTCCTGTCTCTGTTTCTTATTTCCCCCCCCCCCCTCCCAAAAAAAAAAAAACGTTTAACAATCAAGCTAAAATACAGAAAGCTGAAATCTGTGAAGAGAATCCAATCATAAAAACCAAACTATTTTTTCAAAAGAGTGAAAAAAGCAGTAACATTCCTTCTATAAAAGTGTTTTGTCTCACAAACGGTCACCCTTTCATTTCCGTCAGGGAGGATGAATCCAAGACTGCGGCAAATAAGTAAAATATTCATAGTTCACTGCTTTCGTCTGTTTGTCAGAAAAGTGTATTTTCACTTAACAACTCATGTTTTTTGACAGCTCTTATGCAATCGTCGCTTAAGTGATCTTGCAGTAGTAGTAGTGAACTTATTTGTATTCAGATCACGAGCGTATTAAGACACATGCCAATTTATCTGATAATCACTTAACCATCGATTAAGATCATTCATGTTTCAAGTTTTTGATGGTTTAGAAAAGAAATGGGCTCTATACAGCTTGACAGTGATGATGTTCAGGGTATATACTACAATGACGACAGATCTTTAGAACAAAGTAAAAAAGGAAAAACAAGAAAAATACAGGTGAAGAGTCGTAAGGTTGAGACATAAATGAATGTTGTTGTGTTCATGGAAAGTAAGTTACACTTTCGATTAAGAGAACAAGCTTCGTCAAAATGGTCATTTTTGTCGTTTATCAATTGTCGTTTATCGGAAAGAAAGTGAACTTATGGGTAAGCGTCACACGCCGAGAAATAAGCTGAAAAAACAACGTTGAGATTACTATAAATTAACTGTTGAGAAAAATCTCAAAGCCATTACCCGTTATACCATTGTGCGTATAAATTACCCAGATCTGACAATACTGCATTTTTCAAATTGACTCTTCAGTATCACCGAAAGCTTTCCTCTCATTTAATAGGTTCGTTCTCGTTTTTTTTGTTGTTGTTCATAAACTGACGTAAGTGTCCTGTGATTGAATTTTTTTTTCCTCAAATCAGGCATCGAACTGTCATTCAAAGAAAACGGTATTATGGAAGTCAATGCGGCCTGCTTTTTCTAAAAACAAAGTAAGATTTTTAAATATAAGAATATAAGTCGCAGAGTTCAAGAACTAATGACGCTATTCGAGGCATATCCGGTTTTTCAACAGTGATAATTTTTTAAGAAATTTGAGCTAGTCTGGTCTAATATTTATTCCAACTTCCTGTTTTCTTCCTAAGGAAAGATGGAAAATGCTAATGATGAGATAAAAGATCATATCCTGTGGCCGGTAAATTTAAAGAGTTTTTTAGAACTTGCTTTAAAAAAGATTACGCACGGATGTAGCCCCTTTTTTAAACAGAATAGACTTCAATACGATGGAAAATAGAGAACTATTTTTGTCGAAGATTCTGAAATTAAAGATCAAAGATGAAATACCTCAAAAGGTGATAAAATAAAAATTAAATAATGCAGTGTTATAAAGAGTACATTACTCAAAAAAAGAACGAAAAACGCTTGATACATATCGAGACACATGAAATATTTTGAGATGGCTTTCCGAAAAAAATTGCATTCAGAATATTGTCGAATCCCTTTTGAGTAGAAAAAACAATATTATTTGTTTTACAGGTGCTTGAATACATAGCTTAGTGGAATGAACTTGAAAATGAACATCGCTACCGGCTTACTTATGACTGAATTCAGAACAATTTTTATCCATTTTCAGAAAATCGCATGAGCTAATTACACTCGTGCCGACGTATACTTTTGGAAGCGGAAAGTAGTCGAAAGACTTCAAAATAAAACCCTTTACTGTCGAAAGCTGTTCTCAAGTTGTTGCTGTTTGATTTATTTTAAGGAAAACTCACTAATGAACGAGGAAGAAAACTTCAGAACTTACCAAGGACAAAGTCTGTAAATGCACCTTCCCTGATTTGCTTCATACAAATTAACGATGCCTCTAGTGTACAATACAATATCGAATCTTACATCTCATAAGCCCACGGGTTCATTAACGCAGGAAAGTGTGATGTCATAGCAGATATCATATCGCAAATCAAAGAAAATAAATAACTGTAAAGGACGTGTGGTAAAGTATCAGACTAAAACGTTTTGATCTTGTCTCGCCACTGAAGATAAACTTAAACTTCCTCTCTAGACAAGAAAGGTTTGAATATGAAATTGTGTTACAAATAGCACAGATCAAAAATGAAATACGTTGGTTTTGGAAGTCATTTTTAACTTTCGAACTATTGTTTGAGAGGAATCCAATTTTTGCTTGGATTTAGGTTAGTTACGTGCTGTGCCGATTTGAACAATAAAAAATTTTAGACAATGAAGACTGATTAATACATTAAGTTGACATGTTTAGCAGAAATAATTAATATAACTTGTTTACTACCCAATATTATCATTCATTTAGAGATACATTCATTGGAAAATAACAAGAAACTCATGTAACGACACTAAAATGTTGAACGCTTGACATTAGAGCGGGTAAATACGATAATTTTTTTGAGAGACCTATTATAGTTTCTCCACCAGCAGTCACGGATTCACTCCCCTTCTTGACTTCCGACAGTCTCCCATGAAACAATAAATTACACTCGACACGTTTCTATTGCGTTCGGTCCTTGCCTAAAATAATCTTGAGCCCCCGAAGTGCTTAATTTTAGCTCTCAACCTTTATTTTTGCTTCCAATATTTAGTTTCCGTTATTCAGCGTAATTTTTCATCGTTCAACTTGAACAAACAACATCCATCTTTAGAAAGGATGAGAAAGAACTCAAAACTGAGACTCGAAATTTCAACATTTTCATCGCTCAGTCTTAAAAAATAAACTCTTACTTTTCCACATGAAATTTCAAACATTTTTATCGCTTTCGCAACCATGAACTCAGGAAATACTTCTTCTATGTAGGACCAGATGAAAGCTGCTTACAGCAAAGCGAAAAAGATCAATAAAAACTTCTGTTGATATATGACCCAAATATTCAAGTAGATAAAGTAATATTGACGGAAACAATCCATAACTATATAACACCGTCACGTGCATGTAAGAAGACTTTTCTTTCTGAGTCAACAACATAGAAAACTAATAATCAAGGTTGTTTAAACAGCGGATCTGAAAAATCTGCATGGTGTAAATCTTTACCAAGGCGAGATAATCCATTTCCGTTGCTCTCTCGTCCCGTGAATGCGAGCCCGCTGACACCACACAACGTTGTCAAAAATTCGTCAACGGACCACTCCTTTGAAAAATCTTAACTGCATCCCAGGTTTCGTCGGTCTGCTTGCAAACTAATTATTCTACTGGACCCGTTCAGTTCAAAACACTACACAGACTTAGCATGCAGGCTAAAGCTGCACAAGTTCGCACGGAGCCCCACTGTTGTGGTTATGTAAGGGGTACAAACTGTAATCCCAGGCCTAATGTGGAATTGTTCTAGCGGGCTATCTTCATTGAGGAGGCACCTATGTACACGAATAATTTTTCCGTCATTTTCGTATTTGAGCATTGCACATACCTACCAACGTCGTTGATACTCTGGTCCACATCATTTTTTGAGTAGGCTGAATTGACTCCTGCTCGAACGACCGTCATAAAAAAAGAAAGAGGTTCACAATTCCATCTATGTTTTAAGTTATTTTCCACTTTGCAGAACTACCTTCAACTTTCATATAAGAACTCATTGTGAGAGACTGGTTCGCTGTAAACCCAATTAACGACAAATCAAGACAGCGAAAGAAGATAATAAAAACATCTTTTCCTTCGACGCGGCGATTTATGAAAAAAATATCGACTTTTGGTCTTTTAAACTTGTGCTTATACCATCTTTTTCCGGCTCCTTGGTCCGTCCCCTTGCAGGTGAGCTAAGCGATATTGTTTACATTTATTTTCAGGCGAATTCAAACGAGATATTTACCTCACCGCTGACGTCATAAGACTTTGACCCAGTCCACGCCCAGTCACTGGTTGTTAGTTAAGGGGACGGTAATAGATTGAAATGCTTTTGCCAAAATCGGACAGCGGACGAGCAAAAACTATACCTGATCACTGAGAGATATGGCTATTAAAAATGTAATTGCTAGATGCTGATAGCTTAGCAATTGTGAAACAAAGCCCAGGTCCATAACAGGCAAAATAAACATTCAACCGCTTTACCTCGACCGATGGCAATCGTCCCAACTTTTCCCAGAGGACCAAAGTACGTGTTTATACTGAGATCTAGATGTTTCTCAAGCTCCAATGGTCGTGCCGCGGTGTAATGTGTTCCAAGTATTATCCAATCTGAACGTGCTCACAGCTCATAGGCGTAGGACAGGCTAACAGTGCGTACAGGGTTATAGAATTGGTCATTATGAAACGGAAGTTTGCGAGTTGACGTATTTTGAACCGAAGTTATTTTTAAATTATGGGGAAAAGTAGGACAGGAAGTCGTTTAGCAGTTATCCGTGTTTACGTCGAAATCGTAGACTAAGCGATATTCAATGTTGCGATAACTCATCAATTTTTGCTGTTTACTGGAAATGGCGAACAGAAAAAAAATTTAATATCGTGCCGTTTTCTTTCAGTTGTTAAAATTCTTACGAATGACAATAATTGCACCAGCTGAAAACTGGGGCAATGTCTGTTATTTTAATAAAGATTTAATTAATTTAATTGGAAGATTATAGGAGGCGGAAGTGGATGTCTTTCTAACTGCTGGAGTAAACATGACCTCTTCTTCCACTTTGATGGAGCGAAACGATTTATTGACATCCACAGTAAGTGTATAAATAGAGACAGCGTAGTCCAGAAACAAGCAAAGCCGAAGGAACTAAGCGAAGAAGAGTCCTGTGTAAGACCTGTAGGGAATCCCTGGACGGATACAAGGACAAAACATGTCATTTGCAATCTCTATCGGTTTTATATTTTGTTTCAGCTTTATAACTGCCAGCCAGAGCTGTATGTGCCGGTTTAGAGGACTGCGAAAAGACTTTTGTGCCGCTGCCATCGGTAAGCAGTTGCAGTGCAAAAACATGGCTACTATTTTAGTTCAATTTTGGTTGGGTGAAGTTCTTGGTCACAATTCAAAGAAAGGCGTAAGAGATTTTTCAATATATTTTATTTTTTGTTTTTTTCCTCTTAGCAAACACATTAGTAATGTATTTGTATTTAAAATTTTATTGTTATCGACATATGTAAAAAATATAGAATTATAGATTCCATTGTAAATAGATTTTAGCCCTTGAAATAAAGATATAAGCTTGTTTGTTATTATCATCTATAAATTTTTTTTTTTTTTTTGGCATTTGTTCCACAATATGCACTAGCCACCCTCGTGTTTAAGTTTAAGAGCTCATGTTCTTTTCAAAATTCAGGACTATGATTTCTTTCGATTTTTTTAAACAGTCATGAAAGCCAAGGTTACGTCCAACGCTACAAATGCCATCCATGTCCAGTCTGATAATGACACATTCAGCCTTTATTCTTCTTCTCAAGTCTACAATCTGAAAATTGTTGAAGTTTTCAAGGGTAAAGAACAACTTAATCAGCTGGCAGGATTCACACCATCTATCAGAGGCGAGAGCCCAGTGTATACAGTTGAGCTGCACACCCCTCCTCGGTTTATTTCATGCAGCTTCCTGCTCCGCGAAGGTCAGGAGTATCTCCTGTCAGGCAGACTAGACAACAACAAGTTAAGTTCCGAATTTTGCGATATCCGTCTGGAGTGGGGTGATATCACCCCAAGGCAGGAATATGGTGTTAGGGTAAAATACGCCGAGGACTGTTATGATGGAGAAATTAGAGTCCATAACCAGTTTCAAGACCAATGGCCGTAATTTGTATCGCGATTCATAATTTCTGTTCGTACTGAAGTGCTAGAATCGTATTTTTTTAACTGTTGTTGTGTGCAAAATTTAAAAATTAGGCCAGTGAATTGTCAAGGTCTAGTTTTATTAACCAAGTTGAAAACTTGTACCTTCTTTATTGCGTAAATTGCTACTAAATAGTTGTATATAAAGTAGACTTCACTATTTGCATTAATAAATTGTATAAAAAATCTTACACCTTCTCGCAACGTTGTCCTGTTGTTTGTTCGTTTGATCTTTCCATCTGAGTTGACTGATCTGTTTTCTTTAAAGCCTTTGAAAATCGTTACCAAAAATACAGGTCAAAATCTGCGAGGACTGGCGTTTAACGGTTATTTCACTTAACATGTTTTGGGTGATTTCAACTAGCGAGTTTCTGCCGCTCTCTGGTTTCGAAATTTGCGCCTTGTTCGTTGAGTTAGTATCAAACAACTAATCTCATCGATATCAGGTAAACCTTTTGATTGGTAATCTTGGAGTATGATGGTTTATGTGTGGGTTTTAGCTGGGATAGACAGACGTTGTTTAAGTTGAGAAATGAACATTACAGAGTATTGTTGGAGTTAAAGACTATCTAAACAATGATGCGAGCCTGCCTTATTTCTTTTTTACGACATATAGCGGAAATGTCATAGAAATTCGTTCTGCTTTGGAGATTTTAAGTAAAGCACTCGGAATGTTTACATACCTAGGATATGGATTTGCCGAACTACAATCTATTTGTGGTCTTCTGGATACTTATTGGAGACTTATCACTCTAAGTGGTTCCTATTGTTTGTTTCGTAAAGAAAAGATGGGATCACACGATCTCCTGTTTGTTTTCCTTTCACACATCAATAAAGAAATTAAAACTCCCCGGAAAGCTTAAGAAAAATGAAATACCTTATTTAGGAAAACTATTTCGAAAGCATGTTTTCATTTCTAGGTCTTCAATTACAGCGTAAGCTTACATGATGATGTGATGATGTAAAAACAGTGACTCTTCCTTCTCGATTTATCAGATTCGCATCTTTCCACGATTTGTTTTCCTGCCAAATAATGGCTGTTACGCACATATCAATCAATCCCGCAGACGTCTTGCTGAGCAGATCTATGTCTGAAAGCACGAGTGTCCGTGACTCAAATGTTATCAAATCGCACACGTCCATTCTGATCTTCGAACCTATTGAAAACTCAGCGTCTATTTGGGCAGCACGGGCTGAAAAAAAAGTGACCTTTCTTCCTTTCTGTGTTTCAAATACTTTCAACTTGAGCGTGTGAGCATGATGGAATTCGCATTATCTTGCTTTTATGGCAATACAGAAGGATACCTAAGAGAGAGGCTTACTGTTGTATAAACACATCAATAGCTTTTAAGAGTCTCGGAAGAGTGTCAAATTAAATACTTGACAAGGGAAATCAGTACAGATTGGCGGTCAGTTTACAAACATATTCTAACGCAAATGATCTTGTAAACCTAAAATTACAAATTTATGATATAAGAAGACTGACGAGAGAGAATCCCGTGTTTTCAGATTGTTTTCACGCAGAATTCCTCATACCTCTAGCAGCAAAATTAGTGCGTTTTGCTGCATGTCACAAGTGCCAGGAATGTATATACATTTTTAGACAAGAAAGTCTCTTTCTTAATTAGGAGTGGTCTTGAAAAAAACTATTTTGGCTCATCATTGGTATAGTACATCAACAGCAGTGTGTTGTTCCAGCTGTTTATGTAATTTAGGCCACATAACTCTAAAATGAGGGCGTGATGTTGTCATCGTGGACAGGAGTACGTGTTGCAGAATTCAAATAACATTTTTAATTAGAGCTGAATTGCGGTCAGATATGGAATTAGCAGACGTGAATAAGAACATCTGTTAACTATTTACTTCCCTGATCAAATTTGAAATTCTCCTTTCTGTCAACCATTCAATTCTTATAATCTTAGTTCAGAGAATTTAGTATTAGATCAACTAATTATCCCCAAATTGATATTATTCTTTATTCCCATCACTTATCTGGTTGATATTGTATCCGCATTGTAGGGAGAAATTCTTTCTTGGTCACTCATGGGGATAAAGGGTTTAAGACAGCTCGTGAAACAGCCACAATTAAGCCAAACTATTGTTAAAGCTTCTAAAATAGCATATTAGCAAGCGCCAGAAAAATAAAACACAAAAACACAGACTCCCAGTTGACTCTGAACGGAACGTGCCCTCGGATTAACTTGGATAAATTCTGCTCGTTGGAAGAAAGTTAAATGTACCGGACGTATAGGCTGTGTTTTTCAGCAGAGTGGGAGTAGGCCGAGGGTCAAAGAATCCAAAGTTATATTCAATTGTGTTCTTCTTACAAATAACTACTTCAAATTAACCGAAACCAAAATTAACCAAATCAAATTGTATATGAAACTTAGTCCATGAAGTGATGTGAAATTTTGTTTATTTTCTTGAAAACCGACCTAGATTGCGCCATGAGTTTTCCAGCACTTATCCAAATGATAGGAAATCCTCTCAGAGACAGTGCGAGAGAAGCAATTAATCCACAATCATCGATCATGGCGAAGATGCAAGTGGGTTTCCCTTGCGACTGAAACGTGCCATCCTATTCAAAAATGCTTGATTCAGGAAAACGTCTTTCATGTGCCTAATTGTGTGACATAACAGCGATAAGAACAGAGATCGGTTTTGTTTTCCCGTAAAACGTGCCTTCCTGTTTGAAAAGTTAATTGTACTAAAACATTTGACATATGCGTCACTGTTTTTTCGGTACTTCGTAAGTCAATTTACTCAGGTAAGCAGGGTTAGTATTTTCAACTGGGTGAATAACGTAGATTGGCCTCCGAGTTTAAAAGCTGACGTTTCGAGCGTTAGCCTTTTGCCAGAGCGAAGCCCCTTAAAGTGCATAATAGAAGACCACTAAATCTATTTTAAATTTTTTTTTCTCGTGAATACAATTCAAGGTCACCATTTGACGATTAAAAAAAATAAACAATAGCGCTTGAAATACATCCCTAAAATTTTTGTCTTTCCAAAGGTCAGGGAAAAACCTCTCAACACACGTGTTACCAAAGACTCAATCTGACTGCGTGCGCGTGAATGATTTGTCACGAGCTGGAATTTCCCCGGAAGTCAAACAGCGGTTAACAATTGCATCATCAGAAGTATTTACGTAACAAGTTTGACATCCTTCCGTAACCCACCCACACAACTCCCGTTGGTACAGGAATCACATAAGGACGGACTTAACTTGTTTCTGTCAGGCAGACGTGATTCATCAGCTGAAGTAACCACACTCTTACTGAACATCAGCGGACGAGAGTCAGAGCAGAAATTGTGAGCCATGGAAGTTCATGCATGTCTCTTGGTGGTCTCATACTTATTGGCGTCCTGTCATGCCGGCCTTATTCAAAAGCCTGTGTTGGAGCATCCTCAGCAGGTTTTTTGTAAAGCAGACTTTGGTGAGTTTTGCGCTTCATTGAAAATTTTAAGAGATCATGGTTCTGTTAAAGTAGCAATGACCATGTGTCAGTTTAGGGTTTATAGGGATCCCAGGCTCTTGTTTTATGTTGCAATATTCAATCGACAGCCGGCCCGGTTGAAAAGGGTCCTATGACGGATTTGAGTTCATCATTCAACTTATAAGGATTCAAGAAGGAAAGCTTAAGTTTTGGAGCTCAACACCAGGGATTCCTGCCACAAGTTTATTTGTCTTTCAGAATTGTCTCACCCAATTAAGCGTTAAATGGTCAATGAAAAATTAGTTTCAAATTGTCGGGAGAACTGAAAAAGGAATCAAAGAAGCTTATGTGTGGCATACCATAACAAGAAAGTGGTAGATCAAGGCAGATGAAATTTGAATAAGTTTAAAAGTTACGAACCTAAATTTGCACCAAACTTCTGTAATAATGTCGCTTAGCTTTGAAAATAAAGAAACAGGCGTGCGACCTACGCTGATTTGCTTATGAGCCCGCGATTTTGGGGATAAATATCCTTTGAACTGGCGAAGTTCAATGCTGTAATTTGTTATTTAACGAAAGGGTCTACATATTGCAAAGTTTTCACGACACTATCTTTTCCATCACAGTTATACGTGCCGATGTTGTGTCGGGACCTGAAACAGATCCGGAAGGTCACTATGAAGTTTTCAGCATTAACATCACGGAAGTCTTCAGAGGATTGTCACGCGGACCTGCCCTGAACGCTACCAAACTTTACACTCCCGGTAATATGTCGACAGAGAGAGTGACTGGCCCTTATGGGATCAGAGCAGGCGTTGAGTACCTTTTGCACGGCGAAATTTTGAAAGGTGTAGGAATGTATACGAGATTCTCCTCATTGCGGAAGGAGTGGAATAATGTGACCCCACAAGAGAGAGAAAAATTTCAGTATTATGAAGCCGGATGTCGTCAATGTCAGTTGAAACTGTGTGGTGAAACCGACCTAGAATGTCAGAAAAAGTTGCCCGGATGTGAGATGAAGGCAAATCAGTTAGCCCCCTGGCAGTTCTTGAAATCGTTTTGCTGGCATAGGTATGAGCACTGTGAAGTGGATGCAACTGGTGAGCAGTGTTACTGGAGGAAAACAGACGAACCGAAAGAATGCGAGGAGAGCAATCCTTCTTCCATAAATAGCTTTCAAGGCGTCGAGGCATGAAATATGAGCAGATGGGAAAAAAACTTGTACCTTCAAATGAGACTTAAAAATAAAATAAAAATACGATATTATTCGGTGCTTATAAATTGCCAGTTCAATGTAAACTTAGATATACCTTTCTTAGGAATGATGTTAAGTTGTATCAAATAGATATCTGTGAGAGCTGTAGACATCAAAGTAAATCAATTAAAGCTTTTAAGACGAAGAATACTTCTCAAGATTCTTTTTTATGATCGATATTGACAGCCAAGGGAACTGTGTACAACTTTAAGGAAAGCAAATATGAAAACTCATATCTTACCAATTGGGTAATATCACGAATGCATAGAAATACGACCATAAAACAAAACATTTCTATTTCTCGGGCTAAAATCTTTGATCGAGTTTTGTCTCATCCGTTTATCACAGCAACTCTTGTGGGAAAAGGTCACCCGTTTACCTTAACTCCTTCCATCTGAACTCAGGCGAAACCTCTCGTAGCATTAATTATGAAGATGGGGAATGAAGGGGGTGTGGTGGAGAAATCCGTGTG